AAAAAAAAAACTTTTGTCAGAGCAGCAGCTGTAGAGAAAATGTACAATAAACAAACAGGCAGGATTCATTCAAAATATACTACAGACATCACAAATACATCCTGTGCTATAGATCTGGGGGATAGTGAGTTGTTTTCACTTCACTTGAAGCCCTAAAAATGTCTACCTATTTCTCTAGTCAAGTGTCCTCTGTACTGTATTTTTAAGCAAGAGAAAAAGACAGATGGCCAAGATGCTGATACTGCAGGCCCAAGATTTTTCAACTGTATTTTTCCCAGTTGTCCATTGCTAAAAGAGATACAGGACAACGTAGTACAAATCTACACGAAACTAACTCAAACTAAGTATATGTCAACCAAAGCAATCCCGCATCAGAAAGTAAACCAGGAACTTGTCCTGACATTCAGTTTATAGGAGTCTGACACCTTTCTAAACCAGAGAAAGGTGAGCTAATCAGTGTTAGTCCTAGAAACAGTTCCTCGGAATCATTTCTAGAAACATTCAGAGAAGTAAACAATAATCAGCTGGAAGCCGATATACCAAGAATAAGGAGCTTCCAGGATTTCCCTCTGTGTAAAAGCAATCAACTCCTATTTTTAATCTCATTCTGACACAAACAACCAGCCAAAGCGCTCCCTTTTCTGGCTAATCAAATATAGCTGATCTGTTACTATGAAGTTAACTGTTTTAAAAGTCAGATTTGAATGGAAATCATTACAGATTTAATGACAATATTTTAATATAGGAGAAGAATGAGGTTATCTTGAGAGGCAGAACCGATGGTAAGGCTCTAAATACGTCACAGAAACCAACTCATCCACCACCACTGATTCTGAGGATGGGCAAAAAACACCTTCCTATCTGATTAATTGAAAAATAATATGTTGGCAATTAAGTGCAAATGAAAACAGCACCTCCCTATATATTGGGAAAACCTAACAGGGTTATTAAAAATTAATTATTTCCTTGTATGCCCAACAGGATTTGCAACGTTCATAATCCACTTCTGGGTTTTCATTGTAAAGGATTGGGGGGGGGAGGGGGCTGGGGGAGAGAATGTCTTGATAAGTAAACAAAAAGTCCGAACTCTCCTGGGAACTTGTCACATTCTTCTCTTCCAAATCCACAGTATTTAATCCACTTGAAAAACGCCAGCAAAGAGGGCCTTTGGCAAGGAACTCAGTAAGAATATGCAACTCTGAGAACACCACCACAGTACTGACATCAAGCTTGTAGAAAATGCTGCTTTTGTCTCAGAGTCAGCCCCTGATAAAAACAGGAACTTTATGGAGAACTGATCACAACTGCACAAGAAGCCTGATCACATGCCCACAACAGAGCAACGTTTCTCTCATTGTTGTCCAAGGGACTTCTCTAATAACAGTGGCTCGATTTACTCCATTCTTTTAATTCTCAAAATAAATCCAACCCTCCTTGCACCGACCCATTGTCAGAAGAAAGAGGGTGCCGGCCAGGATTTGCATGTAACCGGTAGTCACCCTCCTTCTCTCTTCAAAGACTCCAAAAGGTGATCAGATGCGGAAAATTCACCCCGAATACAGGCACCAGGAAAAAAAACCCTTATGACAAAGGTGGTGTGAAAACAGCACAGTGGGTCTCTCTCTGGGTTAATGCCACTGCTTCCAACCTCCCTAGGACCCTCGGTGGCCCACCCTGCTCCTAGCTCACTCCTGTCACTGGGGAGGCATCTCGCATTGTTAAAGAAGGAGGAAGAAGAAATGCTGCGGATTTCCCATGTATCTTTCTCTTTTTCTGGAAGGGGGAGGGGAGCTGAAACAGGCATGGGGCCCTCCCCTCGAAAAGGGTAGAGGACAGGCGAAAGCTGTCAGCCACCCTGCTCTCAGCCTCAGCCTCACCCCCACCCCCACCGTGCCCAGACGCCCGGGCAGAAGCGGGAGGGCGCAGCTTTGTCTCGGGTTTTGAGGGGCAGGGAGTGCAGAAACAGCCCGGGCCCGGGGAGGACTTCTCCCCGAAGCCCCTGCTTAACCCCTACCCAGAGAACACAATGAACGCCTCAGGAAACCCACTTCATGGGGTGCGAGAGCAGGGAAGACGACCCTTCGGAGCACGGGCCAGATTTCCGGCACCCTCCTCCCATCTCGCCCGCACGGCCAGCAGGGCGCGCGGCGGGGACCTGCTCTCCCTGTCGCCGCGATCCGCAACGGCGCCCGGGCGCTCGCTCCCCCCGCCCGGCTCCTACCCTCCGAGAGCTCCAGCTCCAGCTCCGCCAGTTGCGCCCGCACTTCGGGCGGCAGCGCCGCCACCGCGGCCGGCGCGGGCTCCAGGCCTCGCTCCGCCATCCGGGCTCCGCCAGCCACACTCCGGAAGACAAGAGAGGGGGCCGAAGGAGGGACGGACTGACGCGGGCCCACACCCGGGCTACAGGATCCGGCTCCGGCCGCCGAGCTCCGCCGCTGCCGCCGCCGCCGCCGCCGCCGCCATGAGCAAAAGTCACGTGAGCGCGGTGGCCCCGCCCCCGGGCCGAGGACGCACCGCCTCCGCAGCCAGGCTTCGCTGAGGACTCGCGGGCTTACGGCGCCCTCTACTGGGAATCTCCTAAAACGACGAGTCCAAGCCCGCCACCCGGAGCTCTCCTAGGCGAAAGGAGCTCGAGGTGTTGATGTCAGCGTGGACGCGCATAGCGTTTACCTTTTACGAGCTCATAAGCAAGTTTTCAGAGGACCCAAGCCTCACCTTTTCCACTTCTCTTAGTAGTGTATGCCTTTGTCTTGTCCTCTCCTCCATTTCCCCCTGATTGACATCTACCAATTTTTGAGGACCAGAACTCAGGCCACTTTTTTTGTTTTGACCGATAAATGATTTTTATTATTATTATTTTTTTTTTTTTTTTTTTTTTGTAATTGTATCACCGGCCTTTTCTTTTACTGGGACTTCCCAGTCCCACTTCCCGGGAGCTCTCTGTTTCTATTTCAGTTCTACCATTTAAGGCAATGGATGGAGAATCTCCTTCCTTCTACCTAGAAATTCTAACTACTTGTAAGTGGGGAACTTAATCTTATCTTCTTATACTCTTCTTTTTTTTAATTTTTTTTTTTTTTTTTTTTTAATTTATTTTTGGGACAGAGACAGAGCATGAACGGGGGAGGGGCAGAGAGAGAGAGGGAGACACAGAATCAGAAACAGGCTCCAGGCTCTGAGCCATCAGCCCAGAGCCTGTCGCGGGGCTCGAACTCCCGGACCGCGAGATCGTGACCTGGTTGAAGTCGGACGCCCAACCGACTGCGCCACCCAGGCGCCCCTCTTCTTATACTCTTCAATGTTTGACTTCATAGATATTCCAAAAATATTAATATTTAATTCAATGTAAGGAGGATCCAAACATTTGTGTATTTTTACCAGGAAATACTGGAGCAGATTAAATAGTCATTCATTCATGTTCTATCATAGTATTATACATATATTTTTTATGCCAAAGTTCCCCTTCACAATTTGAGAGATTTCAGCCCCTTTTGTACTGATCCAGAATTGGTCTTTTGAGAGAAAAGGCCACAACATCTATTCAGTAGGAGTTTCTAGACAGTATTGTACCATTTGTGGGCTGAAAGGAAAATTATTTTTTAGTTGAGAAAAGAATTTAAGCTTGAAAAAAGAAATCTGACATCATGGTTGATTGAGGAGTAGACGGAAATTTCCTTTTAACTGCAACAATGTAAGGAGAATCTTAGGAATATATATGTGTGTCCTCTGGTTTAGGTAGGACTGTAGAGAATTTTTTTAGGTCTACAAATTGGTTGACATTCCTCCCATCAAAAAGTGAGGTCCAGGTTCGCTCCCCTGAATCTGAAAGGGCTTCTGACAGCTTTGACCAATAGAATATGGCACAAGTGATACTATGTAAATTCTGAAGTTAGGTTCTAGAAGGCCACGCAGCTTCCCCTGGTTCTCTTGGAATTCTCCCTCTCCAGAGAACCCCTCTGAAGATCCTCCCTCCCAGGATGCTCTGAGAACTCAGTAGCCATGCAGGCAGCTGTCCACATGGAAAACCACATGAGGTGCTCTGCCCAACCTCCCCAGCTCAGCCCAGCCTTATCATCGTCCTAGCCCAACATGAAGAAGCCTGCAGATGACTCCAGCCCCTAGACATTTGAGTCTTCCCAGCTGAGGTCCCAAACAATGTGGAGCAAAGACAGCTCATGCCTGTCACGCCCTGTCCAAATTTCCTGCGAACATAATACAATGGTTATCCTATTATGCCTCTAAGCTCGGGGTGGTTTGTTATACAACAGACCACCACAAGAAAGATCTTAGCAGGTGTTCTTGTTTACCCTCCCAATAGCCCTTACCCCCTCTTTCCTTGTCACTAGACCACACCAACCCTATTGAGGCTGAATATGCTACACACACACTTTTCTGCCCTCCTTGGCGTGTGTGTGATCCCCTGGGGGAACTAGTGGAGGGGGAACATCTGTGGATGATCTCCCTTCTTGATGAGACTGATACATGCACAAGGAGAAAATGCCCCTTCACTTCCTTCCTGTCTTTGGGTGTTGTCCACTATAGGGTGCCAGCAGTCATCCTGCAACCATAAGAGGAAAGCTAAGAGGAGCACAGAGACATCACCTAGAACTTGACAGAATTGGTCTGCTAAAATAACGAATTCTGGAACCGCCTATATTAGGCTTCTCCTTACATGAGAAAATAGGTTTAAGCCTGTTTTAGTTTCATAGTCTGCTGTTTACAGCCAAAAGCTTCCCATGTGATGCTCAATTGACTACCTAAAAATGGAGTATTATGGGACGCCTGGGTGGTTCAGTAGGTTAAGCATCTGACTCTTGGTTTCTGTGCAGATTGTGATCACAGGGTGGTGAGATCAAGCCCCTCATCAGGCCCCATGCTGGGTGTGGAGTCTGCTTACGTTTCTCTTTCTCCCTTGCTCCCCCACCGCCGCACTCACACTCACTCTGTCTCTCTCCAAAATAAAATAAAATAAAAATAAAAATAAAACAAAAAATGGAGTATTACAAGTGAGCAAAATGTGAAATGATTGAGTGCGGTTGCAAAACATCCAGTAAACTATTATGCCACCACATGTAGATTGGGGCTGTTTTGCAGCGGAAATAACTGGAAAATTCAAGATTTGGGGAGTAAGTTGGTGTGGCTTTCAGTAAATTCATACAAGAGAAAAATCGTCTGAAGACGTCCCAGTGGAGGACAGGTGGGTAAGTTTGTCTTTGCTAAGAAGATTTTCTGGCTGCAACCGAAATTGACATGGATGACAGGGTGGAGCTTTGCTGGCTTGGGGAAGCCAAGATCTCTCAAGTTAAGGCTAGGATAAACAGAAGAAAGAACATGGGAGATTTAACAGGTGACAAAATTGAAAAGATTGTGGCTGCTGATGTCTGAAGAACCTCAAGACCTTTCATTAAACAGTCTTTGTCAGATGGAGGTAAATTTAGTAATGAGTACAATAAGCTTAGCAGGAAAGATTACATTAAAGATGGGATTCCTGGGGCTGCAGGGTGGCTCAGTTGGTTAAGCATCCAACTCTTGATTTGGGCTCAGGTCATGATCTGATGGGTTCTGGGATCCATCCCACGTAGGGCTCTGTGCTGACAGTGCTGAGCCTGCTTGGGAATCTCTCTCCCCCTCTCTCTCTCTGTATCTCTCTCTCAGTCTCTCAAAATAAATAAACAGGGGTGCCTGCGTGGCTCAGTCGGCTGAGTGATTTTGGCTCAGGTCATGATCTCACAGTTCATGAGTTCGAGCCCCACATCTGCTGTCACAGAGCCTGCTTCGGATCCTCTGTCCCCCTCTCTCACTGCCCCTCCCCTGCTCAAGCTTTTCCTCTCTCAAAAATAAATAAATGTTTAAATAAATAAACTAAAATAAATTTTTTTAAAGGTGATATTCCTCCCTCTGAGGTCATTAATTTCAAATTGTCTCAAGGTCCTTTAAAGTAAAGGAGAAGAGGATATTTGCTGAGTATAGAGACAAGAGCTATGGGGCTGAAATTCTCAGGTTTATGGAACGATCAGTGCTGTCCAATAGACACACAATGTGAGCCACATGTATAATGTTAAATTTTACTACATTAAAAAGTAAAAAGAAACAGCATATCTCAATCCAGACTAGCTACATTTCAAGTGTTCTATGGCTAGTGGCTACCTGGTTGGACAGGGCAGGTCTAGATATTTACCTGCTTTATTAGCACATGGAATTGACTAGATTAAACAGTCCAGAACCCCACTAAGTTTTTGTACCATACGTATTGCCAAAGATATTCCAAACTTGGCTTTAGCTGCCACTAATTATTCAACACTATAAGCAATCTCGAAACTTCCATCTCCTGCCAACAGAAAAATGGCTGCCAGAGTTCTGCCCCTAAGGACATATACCCAATGCCCATATTAGGTATGCCCATGAAGGACAGTGGATAACTAAGACACTTCCAGAGATCAGAACCAGAGGCTGCCAGACTAGCTAACACATTCACTCCATTTACCAGGGTTGGGCATCCTCACTAGTCCTGTCAGGCAACATGGTAGACTGTTTGCAATCTACCCCCTGTTTTTAAAAAAAAAAATTTTTTTTTACATTTATTTTTGACAGAGAGAGAGAGAGACAGAGCATGAGCAGGGGAGGGGCAGAGAGAGACGGAAACACAGAATCTGAAGCAGGCTCCGGGCTCTGAGCTGTCAGCACAGAGCCTGACGCAGGGCTCGAACTGGTGAACTGCAAGATCATGACCTGAGCCGGTCAGCCGCTTAACTGACTGAGCCACTCAGGCGCCCTTTTACCCCTCACTGTACTCGCTATCCTTAGGTAAATCCCTCCTATTCATTGGGTTTAATCATATGACTTGCTTTGGCTAATGGGACAATTATAAGCATGACCCAGAGACTTGGCAAGTGCTTGTGCATTTGTCTTTCTGCTTTTGAGACCATTGCCTTGTGAATGAGCAGGAGCTAAACTACTAGATGAGGAGAGACATGGCCCAACTACCTCCACTGCTCTAGCTAGGTAAAAAACCCACCCTGCCGAGGTATAAGAGTGAGGCCATAGACTGCCAGTTGATCACAGATCCCAGCTCAGATGGCCAATGCATGTGCACAAAAAATGGTTGCCATTTTAAGCTGCTAAGTTTTGTTCATTTGTTACACAGCAAAAACTAATAAAAACAGGTATGATATGTACTCAGGGACAGTGTCTGCTAAATATTCCCCTTTCTGAATGGGAATATCATTGTACTTACAATCCGTTGTCTGGCATTGTCTTATGCAGTAGTTCTCAAACTTTAACATACATCAGAACCACATGGAAAGCTTATAAAACACAAATT